AAGGCCGACGGGTACTTATCAACTGGGTGCCAAGTCATGTGGGAATAATAGGAAATGACATTGCAGACGAAGTTGCAAAACTTGCAACTAAGAGAAGAAATGTAGACATTTACATACCACAGAGTCTATCACAGATTAAGAAAGTAATTAGAAACAGAGCAATGCAAAAGATGTACAGTGACCACAACACAACAGTTGCAACATCAGGATCTGCGGGTTGCTACAAGAATTCAACAGAAGTACACTACGAACCACTTAGTTTGATGAAAGGGAGCAGTAGAACAACAGAAGTACACTTACATCGCATCAGGCTTGGATACCCATGTGCATGGAAAATAGGCTTACAGGTTCCAGAAGATACGAGGAAATGTCAGCACTGTGGAGAAATGCCCGACAGACCACTGGAACATTATCTAACACAGTGCACAGTTACAAACCCATCAGAATCAACAGAGCAGAAGAAATTGTTAAACACACATGGCAAAATCTTACTGAAGCGACCATACGAGTCATAAATACTCATATTCCGCCCAAGTAAAACAGAAACAAGCAACACTTAGTGGGCGAGCCAGAGGCTTAGGGCCCGCGCACGAATATCCCTGCCAAAAAAATAAACAGCAGTAGTAGGTTAGGTAGAGTGTGTGGAAGTGGTCCCCGTCGTCACTAGCGGCCAGATGGGAGGCCATTGTCTCCCGTGCGCTTCTCCTGCATAAACCCGCATCTGTATGCCGCCATAATTATGGGGATTACGCCTCATTACTGGATCAGAGACTCTGCAATAATGGGCGTGGCGAAGGAGCGTGCGGTGCTTAATTATGACCTCCCTGGGCCCCGTACGCACATTAGTGCGGACCGGGCCGCCTCGCTGGTCCCGGTCCAGGTGGCCCGCCAAAACTGAGTCCAGACGCGGTAATGGGATATAGGGCCTAATGGCTTCATCATATGGGGGTGGCCGGCGACAGGTGGATGAGGGTAGCGGGTGCTGGGGGGGGGGGGGATATTATCACAGGGAACAAGGCTCTTGGTATTGTCATTAATTTATGTTGTTGCTTATTTGAGGGGACTTAAATAGTACGGTGGTTGGTACTACCACTGTACCACCACAACTCCCACTGCTCATAATGTGGTCGTGGCTGCTGCTGCTCTTGCTACCAACTCCACTACTATAGTACTGTCACTACTGCTACTGCAGCCGATACCTGCTATTAACACTACTAGTGCTATTACTAATGATAATTCTCCTGATGCCATTACTAATATTAGTGTATCTTTCGTTATCCGAGTACACCTGCGCGCATGCGCTCTCAAGTACCCCCCCCCCTCTCTCCAACATAATAATAATAATAATAATAATAATAATAATAATAATAATAATAATAATAATAATAATAATAATAATAAAGTAAAGCATGTTGACGATGCGAGGGTGTTGTACCGTGCACTGATTTCAAGTGTGTGCGCCTCCGGTGTCAAGAGGGTCTCAAGCCACAGCTGTTTCCTCCTTGTTTCTCGCTCCTCACCGCCGGAAACTGTATCGTGACTCATCTAGGATCTTCTCCTTTCCCTGGAACGGGGTGAGAATAGCTTGAGCTACCTCATCCCTTTGTGTGTGTTTTACCTCAATAAACTTATTTCAATTTCTCCTTTCCCTTCTCATTCCTTCCCGTTCGCGGGTTGGGCTACCAGCGTGTAGATAAACACCAGAGGTGGTACCACCCCAGGTGTGACACAAGAGGTGGTACCCAGGTATGATACCTGCTGGTGTCGGGAGACCAGAGTGTGTCTCTAGTAGTCTCCCCAAGAACCGTTGCTGGCTGCTCCAGCAACAGTGATATTATTCACCATCTTGAGCATTAACAGCTGCTCAGTACCTCCTTCATCAGCGCCACTAACAACATCAATGTTTCATTGCATATTTACATCATTGTTGTCACCATTACCACCGCAGGAAGTTACTAAATGGCCTAGCTTTAGCTCCAGGGTCTCGCCTTTCGCAGTGTCTTTCCTCTAATGAAATACCTCGCAACTCCGTTTATCATGTCTGCTTTCAAAATTATGGATAGTTGTAATTTTTGCTGCGGTATTTCTAATCAACCTTCTTCTCTTTTACTTAAGAGACTGTGTTACACAGGTATAGGAAGTTGTTCCATGAGGCTACAGGGATGGAGTACTGTGGGATAGTTAGCATGCGCTCCGAGGGTGCTGAGGTGGGGGTGATGGGCCGGGGGAAGGGGGTGCAGGGAGGGCTTGAGGGGTGGGGGGGGGAAGAGTTTGGGGGGAGGGGGCAGGGTTAAATGGGGAACAGGGAAGGCTTGAGATGGGTTATTTTATATTCAGCTGGTGGGAACAAAAAGTTGCAAGTAGCACGGGATATGGTGAGTTCGTAGTGGACTTACCTGGCACAGGAGCGGAGCTGTAACTGAGATGTGGAGGATTGAATGGGGTGGAAGGTAGGGGTGTTGCACTTCTCCTTGCAGTTGTTAAACTGCTTGTGGAGGGTTCCCCACTTCCCTCCAGGACTTTTAGGTTTGGCATTGTGCATGGTTGTGCATGGGCCTCACACGCGTGGGGTCCACGGTTCGAGACCATACAGTCTAGGTGAATGGAATGGTTTCCTGGTTTCTTCTGTGCGTGCGTTCGTTCGTGCGTGTGTGCGTGCGTTCGTGCGTGTGTGCGTGCGAGTTTACCTACGTTTATGCATGGGTCAGAGCAATTATTATAAGACCACTTTTACCCTGGGTGTTGCTGTAGGCTACATTGTTGACAGTCACCCTCACCACCACCATCACCATTACCACCCTTGTCACAACCACCACCATCCCCACCACCACCACCCACCATCACCACCACCACCCTCCGTCACCAACACAACCACCACCATCATCCCCACCACCCACCACCACCACCACCACCACCACCCACCACCACCACCACCACCATCACCACCACCACCGTCACCACCACCACCCACCACCATCACCACCACCACCACCACCGTCACCACCACCACCACTAACCACCACCACCACTAACCACCACGTCACCTCGCCTCTACCACTCACCAGAGGCTGTGAGCGCCACCATCTTGCACCGCAACATTAAGAAACGCCGTACGAACCATTCAGGAGCGAGCGTTACCACCCGGGGGAGGACTGGCAATTATGGGAGCGGTCAGGAGGGCTGCCCACATGCCCGCCTCTGCCCACTGCTCCAGCTACTGAGTGCGTGCATGTTGCAGTACGTGCGTGCCTGCTGGGGTAGGTTTGCGTGCATGCTGGGGTATGTTTGCGTGCGTGCTTGTATATGTTTGCGTGCTTGTGTATAATTGCGTGCTGGTGTATGTTTGCGTGCTTGTGTATTATTGCGTGCGTGCTGGTGTATGTTTGCGTGCGTGCCGGTGTATGTTTGCGTGCGTGCCGGTGTATGTTTGCGTGCGTGCTTGTATATGTTTACGTGCGTGCTGGTGTATGTTTACGTGCGTGCTGGTGTATGTTTACGTGCGTGCTTGCTTGCTTGTGTGTGTATTTACTATTTGTGCCTGCAGGCTCGAGCTGTTAGCTCTTGGACCCCGCCTTTCTACCCGTCGGTTGTCTAATGTACTGACTCCCGACCTATTTTTCTCTTATCATATCTACTACATATATTTCTCTCTAACACACACATACCTATCCCCAGGAAGCAGCCCGTAACAGCTGTCTAACTCCCACGTACCTATTTATGCTTGGGTGAACAGGAGCATCAGGTAAATGAAACTGAGAAGTATCGCAGGTGGCGGTGACAACTCTAGCAGCAGGCTCTCCAAATTCCCGTCGATCACTCCAAAACAATAACTCATCTAATGCAAGAAATGTTTCAAGGAATTAAGTGTCTTCTGAACACGTGTTGCATGAGTCCCCGCCCCAGCCACGGCCAGCAGCCGCGAGCTTCGCGCCATTACCCGCGACTGAGAGCGGGGTTGCTGATAAGACATTCACGATTCCTTCGAAAACTCTATCATATTACCGAGGAGAAAAACAAAATGAAAAAATCGATACACGAGGCGAGTCTCGGTACGCCAGATTTTTGCTCCAGTTGCCTGTTCAGGGAGTGTTTTTATGGGCCGTGGGAGCCCCCAGGGTGCTGGGGGACCATCATCAACCTGGGGTGCGGCTGGGGCGGGGCGGCGCGAGGCGGGGCGGGGCGGGGCCGGTTTCATCGTTTGAGGGGCATAGAGGCCAGGGTAGGGCAAGAAGCATCGTTTGTGGCGGGGAGTTGGGGTTATTCGGGAGGGGAGGCTGTTGTAGGGCGAGGAAGGGGGCGTTGTAGGGCGGGGAGCGGCCGTTGTAGGGCGGGGAGCGGCCGGTGCAAGGCGGGGAGGAGCCGTTGTATGGCGGGGAGCAGCGTTGTTGGACCTCAGACGGCCCTTGCCCCCCCCCCCTCCTGCCTCCACCACATTCCTCCACCCTCTCCAACACCAATCATTGCGGCGTCCTGCGGCGGTGTACACCAGAGCTGGTTTCTGGGTCCTGGTTGCTGAAGAGTGGAGGAGATGGTGGGTGCAGGAGCTACCGAGGGAGCCCAGCCCACTGCCTTACCCATCACTACTTGCCTCTCACTCATCACCCATCACCTCTCACCTAAGAGTGACTCCCTTGTGATACTGCTTGCCTAACACTGCTCATCACACAGTGCAAGGCTATAGGGAGGGTTACCTTGAGGTTACTTTGAGGTGCTTCCGGGGCTTAGCGTCCCCGCGGCCCGGTCGTCGACCAGGCCTCCTGGTTGCCGGACTGATCAACCAGGCTGTTGGACGCGGCTGCTCGCAGCCTGACGTATGAGTCACAGCCTGGTTGATCAGGTATCCTTTGGAAAGAAAGGATGGTGGTTGGGAGGGTGGTCTAGCTCTTCATACCCCACCTCCTATTCTTGGGTTTCTGGTGCGCCTATTAAATCTCTCCTAAGTTCAAGTTGTATCAGGTTTTGAAGTTATGGGTGGAGGTGGCTTCTGCGACTTGCTCCAGTTAATGCCACTTGTAGACCAGCCGTATTGTGTACGACCCTGGCGCTGCCTCCACTCTTGTGTTTTTAGTTTTCACTTTTGTCTCCTTGAGGTGGAGGGGTTCTTGAGGTGGAGGGGTTCTTGAGGTGGAGGGGTTCTTGAGGTGGAGGGGTTCTTGAGGTGGAGGGGTTCTAGAGGTGGAGGGGTTCTTGAGATGGAAGGGTTCTTGAGGTGGAGGGGTTCTTGAGGTGGAGGGGTTCTTGAGGTGGAGGGGTTCTTGAGGTGGAAGGGTTCTTGAGGTGGAGGGGTTCTTGAGATGGAGGGGTTCTTGAGGTGGAGGGGTTCTTGAGATGGAAGGGTTCTTGAGGTGGAGGGGTTCTTGAGGTGGAGGGGTTCTTGAGGTGGAGGGGTTCTTGAGGTGGAGGGGTTCTTGAGGTGGAGGGGTTCTTGAGGTGGAGGGGTTCTTGAGGTGGAGGGATTCTTGAGGTGGAGGGGTTCTTGAGGTGGAGGGGTTCTTGAGGTGGAGGGGTTCTTGAGGTGGAGGGGTTCTTGAGGTGGAGGGGTTCTTGAGGTGGAGGGGTTCTTGAGGTGGAGGGGTTCTTGAGGTGGAGGGGTTCTTGAGGTGGAGGGGTTCTTGAGGTGGAGGGGTTCTTGAGGTGGAGGGGTTCTTGAGATGGAAGGGTTCTTGAGGTGGAGGGGTTCTTGAGGTGGAGGGGTTCTTGAGGTGGAGGGGTTCTTGAGGTGGAGGGGTTCTTGAGGTGGAGGGGTTCTTGAGGTGGAGGGGTTCTTGAGGTGGAGGGGTTCTTGAGGTGGAGGGGTTCTTGAGGTGGAGGGATTCTTGAGGTGGAAGGTTTCTTGAGGTGGAGGGGTTCTTGAGGTGGAGGGGTTCTTGAGGTGGAGGGGTTCTTGAGGTGGAGGGGTTCTTGAGGTGGAGGGGTTCTTGAGATGGAAGGGTTCTTGAGATGGAGGGGTTCTTGAGATGGAAGGGTTCTTGAGATGGAAGGGTTCTTGAGATGGAGGGGTTCTTGAGATGGAAGGGTTCTTGAGATGGAGGGGTTCTTGAGATGGAGGGGTTCTTGAGGTGGAGGGGTTCTTGAGATGGAGGGGTTCTTGAGATGGAGGGGTTCTTGAGATGGAAGGGTTCTTGAGGTGGAGGGGTTCTTGAGGTGGAGGGGTTCTTGAGATGGAAGGGTTCTTGAGGTGGAAGGGTTCTTGAGATGGAGGGGTTCTTGAGATGGAAGGGTTCTTGAGATGGAGGGGTTCTTGAGGTGGAGGGGTTCTTGAGGTGGAGGGGTTCTTGAGGTGGAGGGGTTCTTGAGGTGGAGGGGTTCTTGAGGTGGAGGGGTTCTTGAGGTGGAGGGGTTCTTGAGATGGAAGGGTTCTTGAGATGGAGGGGTTCTTGAGATGGAGGGGTTCTTGAGGTGGAGGGGTTCTTGAGATGGAGGGGTTCTTGAGGTGGAGGGGTTCTTGAGGTGGAGGGGTTCTTGAGATGGAAGGGTTCTTGAGATGGAGGGGTTCTTGAGATGGAAGGGTTCTTGAGATGGAAGGGTTCTTGAGATGGAAGGGTTCTTGAGATGGAGGGGTTCTTGAGATGGAAGGGTTCTTGAGATGGAGGGGTTCTTGAGATGGAAGGGTTCTTGAGATGGAGGGGTTCTTGAGGTGGAGGGGTTCTTGAGGTGGAGGGGTTCTTGAGGTGGAGGGGTTCTTGAGGTGGAGGGGTTCTTGAGGTGGAGGGGTTCTTGAGGTGGAGGGGTTCTTGAGGTGGAGGGGTTCTTGAGGTGGAGGGGTTCTTGAGATGGAGGGGTTCTTGAGATGGAAGGGTTCTTGAGGTGGAGGGGTTCTTGAGATGGAGGGGTTCTTGAGATGGAAGGGTTCTTGAGATGGAGGGGTTCTTGAGATGGAAGGGTTCTTGAGGTGGAGGGGTTCTTGAGGTGGAGGGGTTCTTGAGGTGGAAGGGTTCTTGAGGTGGAGGGGTTCTTGAGGTGGAGGGGTTCTTGAGGTGGAGGGGTTCTTGAGGTGGAGGGGTTCTTGAGATGGAAGGGTTCTTGAGGTGGAGGGGTTCTTGAGGTGGAGGGGTTCTTGAGGTGGAGGGGTTCTTGAGATGGAGGGGTTCTTGAGATGGAGGGGTTCTTGAGGTGGAGGGGTTCTTGAGGTGGAGGGGTTCTTGAGGTGGAGGGGTTCTTGAGGTGGAGGGGTTCACTGTGGGATGGTAAAGAGTTGATTCAGCCAGTAAGGAGTGAGGGAGGTGTGTGGGCGTGCTGGGGGAGGGACACTGGGTGAGGCGTGCTGGAGAAGGGGTGTGGGGAAAGGCGTGCATTTTGTTTTCAAGGATATCCCTGCACGGGTCCAAAGCCTTTGGCTGTCCGACTAATTGGCGTGGTGGATGCTGGGGAATGATGGGGGAAGGGATGCCGGTAGAGGGGGGGAGGGGAGGGGGGATGATGATGGGGAGTGGCGTGCTGGCAGGCAGGCAGGCACGGCCGCCTCACAGTATTCTGACCCGTGGAAGCACATGACACTCACCACTGGATGAGTGATGATGGAGATTAATGTTCCACTACATGCCGTCCCTGGCCTCTCTATGTTCTCCTCCACTCCTGGGTCTCTGGGCGGTGTTAGGGGTGACGAATAAAAACTCCCCAGCATGAGGGGCTGTCACAGCTAGTATAGGCGGGCTCTATCTCTTTCTGAAGCATTATTGACATATTCTTTTCTTTATGGATCTATCTACGTGAGTCAGTCTTTAATTTTTGAAGGTGATTAGTAGGGGTACAGGTGAGACAATATCTGAGGGTGAGACAGCAGCTGGCTCCTTTAATTCTACATGATTCTGTCATGTAATCTGGAAGGATCTCCTCTATCATCTCGCTGGCAGCAGTGCAGGAGGACATGCATGCTGGTGGGATTATAAGTCCTACAAGGACTTATAATCCTAGATAGGATTATAATCCCGATTATAGTAGGATTATAATCCCTGGTAGGATTATAATCCTACAAGGTAGGATTATATGCGCTGCCTTACATATTTCTATCCCCGCCCGTGTGACTGACAGCGTTGCTTGGTCCCCGTGACTGTCATCCATGTTAACGTTGAGCGCTTGTGGCAATATTGGTTTGCTGAACTCATCCTATTAGTTGCGGACTATTGAAAATGGGCGCACACCTCATGAAACGTAGGTCAGGTCAGGCTAGGTCAGGTACCTTGTGGGCAGGCATAAAGCATCATTAACATTAGTTGGAGGTGGTGGGGGCCGACTCCATACACAGTTTCAAGTGTAGATATGATAGAGCCCGATACGCTCAGGAACCTGTACACCTGTTGATTGACGGTTGAGAGGCGGGACCAAAGAGCCAGAGCTCAACCCCCGCAAACACAACTAGGTGAGTACATTCAAATCTAATATTCTCTGATGCAGCATCTTCAGGTGATTAGGTTTTCCTCGAGAATCAGCCCGTCCTCCTCAGGTTTCCCAACGTCAAGAAGTTGTCATACTAGAGTGCTCTTATCATAACCTACCAGAGGACCCAAAACAGAAAACGGGACAATATGTCAATTCCGCCAGCCGCTATCATTTTCTAGTACGACGATTTTTGGCCTTAGGTGAAATATATGTCAAAATGCGACGTTCTGTTAGGAGGACGAGTTGCAAGAATAGCACCGTCGTCACCCAGCGGTGATCCAAGCAGTGTGATGTCAGTGGGCAAAGTGGCTGAGGCTTCAGGTAAAATGGATCTCACTGCAATGATGACTGGTTCACTGTATGAAAATTATCAACACAAAATACATTTTCTGTAGTAAATAGTTACACGTGGAGCACTATATGAAGGTGATGAAGCGTGTAGATACACTGAACAAATGGTTGTATTCGTATCATCATCTATTACTGACGTCCGCTGATCCAACCCCTCCTCCTTATATGATAGTACTCATAGCAACTATTTAGTCTAACGTACAAGAATGTACTATTGCACCCAACTGTTCATATTTTATATTACTAATTTTGTAGTGGGCCCGAAAAATAATTATAGGCCTAGTATAGCATATATATATATATATATATATATATATATATATATATATATATATATATATATATTGGGCCTAAGATAGGGTATATTAGACATAAACTTGCTAAGACAGGTTAGTTTAGGTTCTTTACTTTCTTTTCCATTGTTTAGAAAACCATTTAGGCTCAGTAATACAAAACATGAACATTGGCGTCCAAGAATCTGTTTACACGTTTAACCAAATACGTGTTTGACCAAATATGTGTTTGACCAAATTTGATTTGTTTTATTGTAAATAAAACTTTAAAATCATTAAATTATTTCACTGATAGTCACAGCATAAATTTTTATTCTGAGACAACTACTGACGTCGGGCTGGTGGCTGTATACCCCGTAGGATTTTCCCTGCTGGAAGAGAGCATCCGGGAGAGGTGGAAGGGGTCGGGGTGGCTGCAGGTGGAAAGGGGGGGGGGTGTTGAATACACCCAGCCCCCTCTGGCAGGCCAGCCAGACAACCTGCTTGACCAATCAGACGGCCAACCAGCCGGCCAATCAGAGGGTCAACCCCCTGCCGAACAATCATTTGACAGCATGTGAGGTTACCATGTAATGTTCCTCCACCACCTGAGCCTATTGCAACACCACCTAAGCCAGCTGTCACACCACCTGAGTTTATATGCAACATAAGATCTTCCTCCTATCTAGTTCCAGTTAAGAGCCTCCCAGCTACCTTATAACCCCTGAGGTTCCCTCGTCGTCGGGAATGAGGCTTTCTTAGCTACCAAGGTCGCCTGATCAGTTCGCAACACGAGAACATCGAGGCCAGGAGGTTCTAGACACGACTCCAGGTCAAGTTCCAGGGCAGGTTCTAGACACGACTCCAGGTCAAGCTCCAGGACAGGTTCTAGACACGATTCCAGTTGAAGCTCCAGGACAGGGTCTAGACACCACTCAAGACATCTCATAGCAACGAGGCAGACATATCCCTGTCTGACATGTCTCTGTCAGACATTTCCAATGCAACTTTAAATAGCCGTGTCCTGTGTACAAATGCCTCACCACCTATTGACATTTTTATGCTCTACTCTCATTTGCTGAAGTGTTATTGATGTATGCGAGGCTACTCATTTCAAATCTACACATTCCATTGGTGTATCAGTCCAAACGACTGAAACTTTCCACTGAGTTTGTTTCTACGATGTTATTAGGAAACTTGTTCCATAGATCAGAAATCCCATTTTCCGAACCAGTGTTTGCCTACTTCTTTTCAAGTTCAAAATCTACCCAACTGGGATTCATTGTTTTGTTTTCAAACTTGGGGATGGATATTTTCAGGCCCCAATTTGCATTCGTCTTGTAATATGCGAGAATTTATTACCAGTACCATGGGACAATTTATTACAAGAGTATCTAGTACCAAAAGGGGCTTTTGCTAGACAATCTAGTACCATGTTGGCTCTAAATTCATTAGAGGCTTTGTTATTTGATTACTAAGTACCATTAGAGGCTTTGTTGCTAGGCTTCCTATAGCAAACAGATTTTCTTACTAGACTACTTAATACCATGAGAGTGACTAGCTGTCACTAGAATACCTAGTGCCAGGAGAGGTTTAGTGCTAGAGTATCTAGCACCACACGAGTCTTGAACACTACTGGTACCTGGTACTGGTATCACTGATACCTGAGCACCACCTGGTGGTGGTATCACTGATATCTGAGCACCACCTGGTACTAACCCACACATGTGTGGGTTAGTCCCCATGTACCAGGTATCAGGAGGTTAAACGTAGCTGCATAGAGAAGTTGATCATTACCCGAGCCTGGCTGATGATGCTGGCCGCGTTGGGTCGTAACTCAGGGTAAGATGCACCAGCCGCTGCCTCCACTACCGCAGCTGGTTCCTCCTCTCACACATGTGTAGCTCCTCCCACAAGGAGCTCCTCCAACAGGAACTATCTCAACAAGAAGCGCCACCTCCAACAGGTTTAGCCCCTCCCACACTAGCTCCTCCTCCAACAGGTAGTTCTTCCTAAAATCTCTGAAAAGCAGTTCGTCAAAGAGGCAGGTTCCTCCACAGGAAGTTGCTTCCTCAAGCAGCTCTATCTATTGATAGTTTCTGTGTACGCGCGCAATCTGTCTTCTTACAAATAGCCATCTCCGACAGCCTTCACCTCCATAGATAGATACATAGATATCTATGTATCTATGTTTATTCGTCTAACAGACAGCATAGTTCTTCAATACACAGCCCCCCCCCCTCAACACAGGCAGCCGTGTTCTGCAGTCAGTCCCACTATCTTCCAATAGACAGGCTCCTGTCACAGTTATCGCCCAACTCCTACAGACATCCATCTTCTACAGACAGATATCTTTATCTATGCACAGTCTCACAATCCCTTAAACAGGTCTGTGAAGCTTCCTTCTCTGTGTGTGTCTGTGTCTCTGTCTGTCTGTCTCTGTCTCTCTCTCTCTCTCTCTCTCTCTCTCTCTCTCTCTCTCTCTTTACTCTCTTACTCTCCTACATTTGCGATGATGACAGCTACTCCTTCCGCAGCTTCTTGTGCTGCCTTGGGTGGGGTGAAGGTGATGGCAAGGTCACTGTGGTGGTGGAAGTGTTGCTGGGGCAGCGTGGTGGTGTGTGGTGTGGGGGTGACCAGTGGTGTGTGGTGTGGGGGTGACCAGTGGTGTGTGCTTGGATAGTATGATGAGGCCAGTGTTGTATATCAGTATGATGAGGGCAATGTTGTATATCAGTATGATGAGGGGCAGTGTTGTATATCAGTATGATGAGGGCAGTGTTGTATATCAGTATGATGAGGGCAGTGTTGTATATCAGTATGATGAGGGCAATGTTGTATATCAGTATGATGAGGGCAGTGTTGTATATCAGTATGATGAGGGCAATGTTGTATATCAGTATGATGAGGGCAGTGTTGTATATCAGTATGATGAGGGCAGTGTTGTATATCAGTATGATGAGGGCAGTGTTGTATATCAGTATGATGAGGGCAGTGTTGTATATCAGTATGATGAGGCCAGTGTTGTATATCAGTATGATGAGGGCAGTGTTGTATATCAGTATGATGAGGCCAGTGTTGTATATCAGTATGATGAGGGCAATGTTGTATATCAGTATGATGAGGGCAGTGTTGTATATCAGTATGATGAGGGCAGTGTTGTATATCAGTATGATGAGGGCAGTGTTGTATATCAGTATGATGAGGGCAATGTTGTATATCAGTATGATGAGGCCAGTGTTGTATATCTGTATGATGAGGGCAAATGTTTATCAGTATGATGAGGGCAGTGT